TTCTTTTTTTTTTGTTTTCTTTTTTTTTGTTTTTTTTTTCTCTTCGCTAATTCTTGTTTTTACGTTTCTTATACTTCGCTAACTCTAGCAAATGGCAGTGAACTCTTTTTTTACAGTAAATGGTAAGTTTTTTTCATTAATCTTACGTTTTGAGGTGGAAATTCTTTATACTCACTTTTATTCACTTTAATCCGGTCCGTCTTCAAAGCAGAATACTGGAATGTACGGTGCTGCGAAGGAGGCTTTGTTTTTTTTTTGATTATCATATCATTACACGAGATGCGAAAATTTTAGGAAATCCGCTGATATGGATGTCACGTGGATTTCAGCATCATCCGATTTCAGCATCATCCCCGACATTTATTACTATCTAGCTAATTTGAAATTTATATAAACAAAAAAAACTAATTTGATCACATGTACATATATAGATATTACTTGCAAGCTTTATTTTAGATATTTATTTATTTGTTTATTTTAGATATCAGATGCATTTGAATACATTTGTTTATTATTAGAAATGAATGTTTTGGTATTTTTATTCAATTATGTTTTAAAATTCTAATCAAGTTCTATTATAATATTTATATATTTATAGAGTATAGAAACATCTTGGGTGGTTGATATACAAAAAAACTTTGAAGTTCTAATAAACCAAGTAAAGCAGGTTTGATTGGTTTAATAGTATTCCAAATTGAAAATTGATTAATTAATTGAATTATCAACTAATTGATTAATAAATTTATTTGACAACTAATCAATTGTCAAATTAACTAGTTAGTTAATCGATTAGTTGACTAATCGACTAGTTGTTTTATACTTTGATTTTGGAATTGATAGACAATTATATCTAAGCCATTTTGATATACTAACTAGTCAACTAGTCAATAATCAATTAGTTAGATATAATCGATTTTTAATCGATTTTTAAATTTTTTTTTGGCCAACTAATTAATTATATTTTTTGGTTCAATTTGTAATACTGGTTTAAGAAACTAATTGTAACTAATAAATTTATAATTTAGTTGTTATCAGAAATATTAGAAAAAACAAAAAAATTGTGAGAAGTTATAGAACAGCAGTTATATAAATTAGATATAGAGAATTTAGAATATGGGCTGTGTTCTACAAAAAAGGGGGAAATCAACAAATTTTTCAAAACTTATTTTTTTGCATAAATCAATTTAGAATAAAATTAGAATTATTTTTTACTTAAAACACAAAGTAGTTGTCTTAATAAAATCTTGTAGAATAGCTTTTTGAAATTTGTATTTTCTTATGATTTATTATAAAATTTATAACATAAAAATTGATTTTCTGAAGATCTTTTTTTTTGTCAATTTCCCCCTTTTTTGTAGAACACAGCCCACATATACACTCGCAACTAATAAAATACTAGCCTTAACCCTATGTGATGTTTGCTATATGAGCTGTTGGTGTGATGTACCGGATGTCAATATTTTTCTCATACTTTGATTGGTCAACATGTGTCGACCAGCAATCTACTATAGAGATGTTGACTAATGTGTTACCTAAATAGTAACCAATTAAAATTAGATATAATTATATACTTTTAAATTATTTCTGTTTCGGTGTATTTCTATACAGTAATAGGTACCAAATTGTTTGACAAAAAATTGTAAGATTTGTGCATACAATACCATTCACTAGTAGATCATGAAAGATAATGATAAATTTATAAAAAAGTCGAATTCTTGATTCATAAAGACCTTTTAGTTATAATGCTCCAATTTACAGATGGTTTATATTATACAGTAGCTAAGTCATTCTTTTTCTAAACTTATAAACCAACAAGCTACCTTAATTATTTTAGATCTTATTTTTAATAGTAGACAATGTCCATTATATCATCAAAATATTTTATAGGATCTATATTATTAAATCTAATATTCAAAAATTCAGTGGGAGCACAGGATCCCTCACAAGATCTTTACGAAGGTAAATTAAGTGTTAATAAAGTCTTATAAAGTATTTTTACCAATAATCATTTTATTTACATTCCGAGTTTGGTAGAGGATCCTGCAGGATTTTTAAGTGTAGTCATCGTTGGATATACTTCCATGATTTTCTCCTTAATCGGAACATTTTTTGTATTTAGTAGAGTTTATTACAGATGGAGAAATACAAATAAAGTTTTGTCTATGGCCCTTAAAGTACCTTTTTATATGTGCATATTTGGTAAGCATTTATGTACTAAAATTTTTATGCAAAATGATTCTATTATTTGTTGCATATGCTTTTCCCTTGTGTGATTTATATAATTTCATTATTATAGATTTTGCTTTAGTAATTTGTCAGTCTATTAATTTTGTAAGTTATAATATAATTCAATTAAAGACGTACGTATGACAGATCAATGCTTGAGCTTTAATTCTTTAATTAGACTTATCTTGCGATAAATCGTACTACGTTGTCTGATCCAGCCTGTATACAAGTTGCCTTTGTGCAAGCTGCTATTACTTTTTATCATAGATTAGTTATCGCTTGCATTTCTATAAATACTTATTTCAGGTAAATATTTAATAATATTTTATAATATGTTTATATTAAGTGGATCCTTCAATCTCTTTTTTTTTTTAGAGTATGTAGAGAAAAAAATTTTAATATTGGTAGATATGATTGGAAAATATTTATACCGACAGGAATTATCTCAGGAGTTGTTTCATTTCTTGGTTTAAAAAATTATGGTCGTGATAAATATTGGTATAAATTATTTATCTAGTTTATTATAGTCCCATTTGATTTAGTTTTGTCGCTCCTTTTTAATAACATATTATTAATAAATTGATAATTTAAATTTTCAATTTTTTTTAGGTGTGCCGTAAAATCTGATAGATCTAAAAATTTTTTTATTCCATTTACTTCCACTTTGATAACATTACTTGTGCTTTCTATGTGTTTATTTTGTTACATCAAAACTATTCGTGCCATACGTCTTGTTAAAGAGCAGCAAGAAGCAGTTATTTCTAGTAACGGTGTAATTGGTAATAATAACTCTTCAGTGTCTCCAATAGAAGAGGTGGAAAGAAAAGTTAGTAAAAAAGTTTTGGGGTATATACTTGTGTTTATATTACAATGGGTAGGCGGTTTTTAATGTTACTATATTTATTATAATCCAGTCTTCCTCCTTTACAATCACCTCCTATATAGTCACACCCTTTTTATAAGTTCCATTTTTTGAAAAATTATTGGCAATTATTTATTTAAAAAAAAAAACTTTATATAATCACATTACTATTAAAATTTTATAATCACATCTTTTTTATGTAAAACAAACCGCGTGAGTTATTATTCTGAATATGTCCTTTTATTTATTTATTTTTTTAGACACCTTCTATACCTTATAATATGTACCAATTTCTTGGAAATGCAAAACCCTGGGCTTATTGTTTGGTTATTGCATCAGTTAACTTGGGTGTGAGTAATTTTCTATTTATTCTTTTTTCGTTAACATATCATTTACATAGTATTCAATTTTTTATTTTATTTATTTTATTTGTAGGGTGTTGGAAATGCAATATTTTATGTAATAAATGAAGGTTGGCAGATTCGTTTTCATGGTACTGGCAAATCTGGTTCGAATTTTGATCAAGGAAATGTTATTCATTCAAAAGATGACTCTAATTGTGATGAAATTAGTTCCAAAGATGTTACTGACCATGCTGTTTCAATATTATTACAAAATAATGTTGTTACTGAAATTTCTGGACGTGATACGTTTAATTCTTGAAAAAGTGATAGTTATTTGACTGAAGAGAGTAAATATCTTGAGTTTTTCTTTGATCATCCTCATTAGTAATTGTTTTAAATATTCTTATATGTAATTTTTTATTTGTAATCTTACATGTAAATTTACTTTAGGCATGATTATTAATAACTTAGAAAAAAAAATTAGGTATCAATAATAGTATAGTATAAGCTGGCTAAGATTTTTTTTAAATATCTAAATATGTCAAATATTTGATTTTGGTTATTTTATAAACTTTATATGTTGTCATATATTTAATAGCAATAAAAATTTATGCTTGCTTGATATAACAATATTAAGAAGAAAAACCTATCTGTAGTGATTATTGACTTAGTCGACTAATTTGACCAATCTATTTTGGTGAAAAGTGTTATAGGATTATCATTGAGGCGGTTCAGGACGAATCCGCAAAATCTACTATGCTGTACCAACAACGCCAGGGCATAGGTTCACGTGATTTTCCGATGACAGTTAGCTAATTAATATCCAAGATCAGGTGTAACGTAAAGAAATCAAAACAAACGTTCGCTTTGCAAAGTTTATGTTTATTATGAAATATAGACTAGTAAATCGCCTTTTTGGTCCTAACAAAAAATTTTCCTCGCGCAATTTTACTATATAATAGCTCTCAAACCTAATCTAAACCCTGACCCAAACCTAACATAGTGATTCTAGCCGAAACCAAAAAGATCGACTAATCCGATTTTTCAACCCGGCCGGTCGATTTTTTGCAAAATCAGCTGGTCGATTTTGTAAGTGAGGCTATTTAACATAATAAAATAGCTTCCCTGAATTGTACACTACCAGAATTTTTACATTAATTAATTTTAGTATTGTGCCTGCCTTCAAAACCTTGCTTACATTTCACAGTTCTTGGTAGTTCAATAGCTAATTTTTCAGCAACAATATTAAACTAATCAGTGTGATGTATTCACAAATATATATAAATTTATTAATAATTCTGACTCGGTAATTTATTGATTTTGTCACTGAAAAATTTTTTAACTGCTTCGGAATTTATAAAAACAACTATAATAAAGAACGAATTCTAAAATAAGCTTATGAATATATTATTCTATTAGATAAACTATAAATTTTTCAGCTAAATCAACTAAGCTAATAAAATTTTATCAGCCTAGCTAGTTGAAAAATTTTGACCGGCTGGAATCACTACCCTAACATAAATAAATTTTTTATATAATATCAAAAAAATCATATAACCAGAAAACCAATCCTATGCCCTGTCAATTTCATGTAGGGTTGGATCGGTCCTGCAAAGACCGGTTAAAGACCGATCTTTTTAACCGGTTAGGCAGTCCTCGGTCCCTGGTCTTTTAACCAATTCAGATCGGTTAAAAATAAACTTCATTAAAATAAACTTTAAACTATATCAATATATTTCAGTATTAAATAAAAATCTTAGTATTATTATATAAATATATATTTATGATTATAAATTTGGTAAACTATATCGATATATTACAAAAATCTCTACATTTTATTATATAAATCCGTATTTACAAGTTATTATATAAATATGTATTTACAACTATAGAATTATATGTTATTATATAAAGATGTATTTACAATTATAGAATTATATGTAATTATATAAAGATGTATTTACAATTATAAGTATATCAATATATTACATGCTAAGATAAAAATTTCTATGTGTTATTATATTAATATGTATTTACAATTATAGAATTACAAATAAATAAACAAACTCTTTCCTGTAAATCCCTAGTACAATAATTCTTAAAATTTCTAAAATACAAAAACACAATTTACATTTAATTTTATTAAGTAACCATACTATTTAGCTCTAAATAAAATT